ATGAAATATTTGTGTAATCACATTCATTTATTCATTCACTCATTCAAACGCATTTATGTGACATTGTTGCCTTTTATTGCTTACCAGCTATTTGATCTATGTCTGTATTCTCATAGACACTTCCCTACCTTTTGAAGAGTGGAAATCATAAAAAGCTGTCCATAACAGCTGTTCTGAGGTCATCTATGTTTGCTAGCTGCAGGTGGAAATCTCCTTCACAGAGCCCTAAATAGAAGGTTGTAAAATGTGGCCTTTGGGGGAGCCTGACCATACAGCCTTTTGTATAATCTATCATCTGCAGAGTGTGTTAAGCTGCTTTTGATATTTGAAGGCATTATCTTTCAATGTAACGTGTTGCCTATATATACCCACTGGTCCCTTTTAGGAATCTTGCTGTCATGCTGATTTCAGTGAGTAAATGAATTTTTAAGATGCTACTCTGGTGACTCTTTAATTGAGGGATTGTAGATCTTTTTGAAATCAGTTGGGAGGATCAAATGAGAGAAAATAATGTGAATGCTGCTTAGAAAACAATAAAGCACTAAGTCACCATATGACATTTTATTATAATTTGTCGAACTCTTGATTTAACTGAATATCAAAAGTTCTTTACCTTCTGCAAAATTAAGCGTGGACTTCTACCAAAAATTAGCCATGAGAAGGTTTTAAAATGTACTCATGCTATTCTTTGTGTTTCCTATTGCTCCTTTATAGAAGTGTTTTAGGTGCAAACTGAAAATCTGCTGTCATTGAGAAAGTTGTGGAAATTCAGAGGCTTTGGTTTTAAGACTTGAAGAAGTTTTTCCATCTTTCTGGTATTTTATTCCTGTCAGTTCACGTGGCTTCTTTCCTTTCCTTCTCCTCCGCCAGGTTTGGTTTTGAGCTTTGGATTCAAAGAAACCCCAAAGTGAAAACAAAATGGTCAGAACTGCTGACTCTTGTTTTGTAAACTTTCTTAGTCCAGCATTCATAAGAAAAGAAGGTGCTGACCAGAAATTGGGCCTAGCTTCATCCAAAATACAGGCCAAGTTCAGGAATCTTTGAGGGAACTTTGGGTCAAGTTATAGATATATACCAAAATTTCAGTACTTTTCGAATACATTTAAAGTAAAATGAAAATTATCACGCTATGAGAAGTAGATTTAATACTTAAACTTCATATATTAATCTGTCAGCTATTTTTAATAAAAATAAAAATCTAACATTTTGTAGTAAATAGAATCTCTTGATTTTTTATCTGCAGGTACATTTTGGAACCTTACACATAAAATGTACTTAAGTGTCTTCATTAGCTTTGAAATTTTCTTTGAAGACTTGTAATTATGAAAAAAGTTATGCTAAACTGTGCTTAACAAGTTTCATCTCTTATAAACCTTCCACAGTAGTGTTTTATTATGGAAATTCTGACAGATACAATAACAGACACCAATCCAAGGGGCTTAATTGTATGTTCATGCAGGAATATGCATACTAGCATAATAGTTGGTTCAGTTTCCAGTGCAAATTTTGCTAAATATGCTTTCACATTGGACACCTGTAAAAGATGACTGGTCGAATAACTGCCTGTTGATGGAAAAGACTTCTGATTTTTTCATATTTCATATTTCATATTCATATTGTTTCTTTCCTTGGAAAGCCTGATTATGTCTTTCAAATATGATTTAATTTAGATCTTTTTTTGGTTTACATGTCTGAATACTGAAGAGTAACTTGATAGTTATGGAGAACTTAGTTTGAGACCAAAAGGCAATTTTCAGTCAGTAAAGAATATATAAATAAATTGTTTCCAAACAACATCTAAAATGATATTTAGCTTCTATATGTCCAAATAACTTTAAGATTTCAAGAGCCAGTTCTTACAATTTTGGGAAGGAACTGACACCATTAGTTTTAAAAAAAAAAACTGGTGAAGGTTTTGAAAACTAGTGTCTACTGATATTTCTGTCAACCTTGTTTTAGAAGAGAACAAAGAATAAAACAATTTTAACATATATTTTGTTATACACTGAAAGACACTCATATTAAAGAGTATACCAAATTTATGGATCTAATATTGAGAAAACTTAGAAAAGTTGAATGTCAAGATAATAGAAGTGAAGTGAATTCATGTTGGAAACATGCATCATTTTGTCTTATCTTTATGGATGATTTGGTATAGGGAATAAGTCAACCCATTTCTATGTGTTTCTGACCCTTATTTGGCTTCAAATTATTCTATTACTACAATGATTAAGAAAATGTCATAGATACTTTACATTTATAGCAGCTTCTAAATATAAAAAACTGACAACACAACATTTGTAAGCTGTAATAGTTTTAAGACTTGTGGGCATAATTCTAATAATAATGAAGAAAATGCTTTTTATTAAGAAGTTCTTCAGGCATTAATTACTCTACTGAAGAGGTATTAACTGTAGGATATTATGTGCTTACCAAGAATATAACATAATGGTTCAGAATATGGGCAAGAGGATTAAGAGTGATAGTTGTATTTACTCTTCAGCACCCAATTTTGGGGTCCTTTGTCTATATAGTTTTTTTTAAATGTCTGGTTTTCAAAACTGGTTATCAACAGAATATTAAAGATCCCTAGAGTTGAGACATTTTTGAAACTTATTTAACACCTGCAGATTATTAAAAATGGATGTTTAATTCTCAGGAGGACTTTTAAGTGGGAGAAGGAAGAGAGCTTCCGTAAGCTGTTGCAATTTTGAACGCATTCACACAATACATAAAATATCAACACTTAAAAAAATTAAATTAATAATTAAAAATAGTTGTTTTCCTCTAACATACTGAAATGAGTAATTTAAAAGCTATCTTTAAAAACAGATACACTAGTTTGAGAAGCCAAAAAGCACCTAGGAAAAGAAGAGAAAATGAGTAATTTTACTTCATAAATATAAACTGTGAAATTTTCAGTTTAATAAAGGTGCTTGAGAATGAAAAAAAATGCATTCCCTGATTTTGTTGTTTTGTTACTTTTTTTTTAAACCGTTTTACCCTGTTACTTTTATGATAGAGGCAGAAGTCCTGGTGAAGACAGTAAAAATAAAAAACATTTTTGGGAGGGTGGACATTTCAAAACTAATCCAGTTTCCATACATAAGAGAACTAGGAAAAGTTTTAAATGAAGGCACTTGACAAGCAAAGCCCTGTAATGCTGTTGGGAGGAATATGAACTGGCACAACCCCACCCGAAGGCAATCTGGCCATTTGTAGCTGCAAACCTCAATGCTCATCTGATGCAGAAATTTCCCTTCTAGTTATCTAGTATCAGAGAATTATAGTCAGAGAAGAAATTTGTAGACTGCTCTTTGCATCATTATTTATTTCTTGTAAAGAAAATATCTTAGCTATCACTTGTAAAGGACTGGAATTAAGTTGTGCTACATCGATATGACAATAAGATACAGTAATCAAATTGCATTTGAAAAATATTTATAGTCCAGAGAAGAGTGCTTGTTCTATAATGCTGAGTGGAAAAAGATCAATATCAAAAGATCCCAAATTTGTTAAACATACTAAATTTATATCCGTATAGAAAAAAAAAAGACTAGAAGGACATAGATAACAATGCTCACTGTGTGATAATGCGGAGTGATTTATATTTTTCTTTTCCTTTTAGGATGAATACATATTACTTAATAAAATGAATTATATATCTAAAAGTATGATAGTGTAGTGTGTGTGTGTGTGTGTGTGGGTGCACGCACCCACACACACACACACACAAGGGTGTGGTAAAGAAGAGGCAAAATGAAGTGTTGGAATACAGGATTTATCCTTTAGGATTATTGAGTTTACAGGTAGGTGGGTATTATTCACAAGTTCCTCTCCTCACGTACCTACTTCTATCCGGAGACCTTCAGTTCAGGTGTTAGCAGGTGGCCCAGAAAGGAAGAACTGTGTAATGGCAGAGGGTCCAAACTGGAGGCGGCCCCTCACTATGGTCCTGCTTCAACCTCAAAATCTCCATCGCACACTTTTGCAGAGCGGAAGAATGCATCTCCTTCTTTGACTTTTTGCTTCACCTGTGCCTAAATGCGATTAGAATGAAAGCTATCTTCTCTACCTACAGTAAAAAATTTTACAGTGAGCGCTCAGGCGGCGCTGCGTCTTCTCAGCGACGGGGAAGACCTGGTCCTTTCTCCCGAGGCGTCACAGGGAGGCACCTGCGGGCGACAAGGGCTCAAGGCGCGCAAGACCCTCAGCATGCCCATGAGTGTCTTAGAGCAGCTACCCAACCTACCTCCGGGTTCAAGCGTCTGGCTCCTAGAAGGACGCGAAAAGGGTTCCTGATTCTGCGCATAAGAGGAGGGGAGAATGAAGTCATTTCTCAAGAGTCGCCTGTTCCCTCGACTCCCCGTCCCCCTCCTCAACGTCCTTCCGTTTGACCACACGCCTAAAGGAATCGGACAAGAGATCCGGAGCTCCGTGGCCTCCCAGGAGGTCCCGCACCCTGCACCCCTCGTGGCTCTCTGCTCCAGGATCTCTCTAAGGGTGCGAGTAGCAGCCGAGCGCCTGCTGGGGAAGGCGTGACACCGACTCTTGAGGCTTAAGGAAAAAAAGTAGGAATGTCTATTTTATTGCTTCTATTAAAAAAAAAAAAAGGTAAAGAGGAGAGATTGGACTCCGTAGAAGTCCCTGGAGTCTGCCGTTAGTAGAGAGGGTTAGCTGCCCACCCACCCGGCCTGCCGAAGCTGCTTTTGGGAGGGAGCCTTGATGACCCCAAGGCGTTCTAACTCATTCTAATGACACCCGCCCGCCGCTGCGCTAAACCACCGAGAGCGGTCCCGTGTGTACTAAGTACACGGCTGCCGCTCTTCTCAGGGCTATGGGGATTTTAACCCCGAACTAAGCACCAGAAAGCCAGAGGTTCTGTCTTGGAGCAGCCCTCCAGGCCTTTCCGCCGCATCCTGCGGGTCCTGAAACCTCCCCCCACCCCCCAGCCCCGCGCGCCCAGGGGAGGGAGGGGCAGACTCCTCCATCCCGTCCCGGCTTAGCGGGTTTCCTCCTTCTCGCAGCTCTCCAAGAGCTCGGTCATGAAGGAAATGTAGACGATAGCCAGGCGTAGGGTCTCGATCCTGGACAACCTCTTCTCGTAAGCAAAAGTGGGCACCTTCCTCCGCAGCTGGTCGAAGGCCTCGTTGAGGTTGAACATCCGCTTCCTCTCGCGGATGTTGGCGGCCTGGCGCTGGGCGTAGGTGATCACCCTTTTCCTCTTCGGGCGGCCCAGCAGGGAGGCACCTCTCCCTTGCTCCTCATCCTCCTCCTCCTCCTCCCCGTCGTCTCCTTCGCCTTCCTCGTCTGGATCCTCCTCAAAGCACGCCAGCTTCCTGGGTCTTCCCTCTCGGAGCACAAGGTCTCGGTCACCAAAGGGGACCCCGGGCGCGAAGTCGCAGAGGAGAGGATACCCCGGCGAGGCCAGGGACAGGTCTGCAACGAAGCCCAGCACGGTGGCATCCACGCAGCTCTCCGGATAGGCCTCCATCGCGTCGGCTTGGTCCTGCGTCTCATCGGTTTCTAGCAGGGAGAGGCGAGACTCTGGTGACGGGCTTCCTAACAGCCGTGAGTCGGATGCGACACCATCACTGAAGGACTAGGCTACATGAGTATTTGTAACCGAGCTGATAACAGGATTAGTGGCACCGATAGGGAAGGCTCTGGCAACGTCCCTCCTCTCGAGGCTGATGGAAGAAGACAAGCTCGAGCATGCATGAAGACTCAAAGGGACGGGCCTCCAGTTTCGAGATCCCGTTCGCTGCGCCACCTGGGACAGTTCCTTCTTGGCAACCCCCAGATCTTACCTGCTGTGCCTTTTGTGTTTCTACACACCCCCGCAGCCGGCTAATATTCTTCAGGCTCCTTATCTCATGTAGTTATTTAATTTAGTTTTGGATTTTCAAAGAGAGGATGTTTTCCACAGCTTTGGATTCTCCTTGGCTTCAGGGCAGGAGTCCTGAATCTTGCCAACCAAGGCTGCCAGTGGGTGTGAAACAAGTGCTTGTGCTTTTAATGATGTCCTGAAGAGGGGCCCTGTCTGCCAGGGGTCGAGGGGAGCTGTTTGTCCGGTATCCCAGTGCAGCGGCTGCTGAAAGGCAAAATCTTCCATTAGCCTAAGTAAGCACGGTAGGGGGTGCCGAGAGCGCATTCCCAAGGGTCGCTGTTGGAACCGGCTTTCTCCTCCCTGGACATCGTAAACAGCTCTCCTGCCGCGTTACAAACCCTGGCTCCTAAAGCCTGTTGTGTTATAATCAGCTAATAATTGAGATACTTGACTTTCCTTTTCCTACCCTTCTACTCTTGTAGAGGATTTTACTTCGAAGGCAAAAGTTATGATGAGAGTAAAATGAAAAAGGGAAGCTCAGAATATTTACCCCGAGCGTGCTTTACTGTACTATCCCAGCGTGGGAGGCAAAGCAAACCCTCTCCCTCCCCACAAACAAAATAACTTCAATCTCCTTTCAAATATGCGGTTTACCCTCCGATGAACCAATGGGTCGATCGGCTCACCCTCTGTTAAGAAGTCTTTCAACTGTTAAATTGCTGACCAGTATTTGTGAAAAAAAGAAAAACCCTGACATTTCCATCTGGCTTATTTTTCTCATTGATTTGTACCTTCCTACAGGACGTCAGAACGGAAGCTATACTATCGAATTCTTTTAAAGGAATGTTAATGTTATCTTTTAGGTCATTATTTTTTAGATGAAAAGAGACTTTAAATTTGGTATAACGAAAATGAAATTTCACTGATTTCATATTATCTCTAACATTTTAACAAAGAAGGGTTCATTTTTCCTTATTTGTCACTAGCTGTATTTACTTAATTTTTTTCAGTATAGGGATTTTTGAGAAGGCACGGCAGGGCAGAACAATATGTTAGAAATAATCTTAAAGATGGACTAGAAGAAATAGCCTTAAAAATTACTATGAAGACATTTTTGTTCAAGGGAGAATCGGCAAAGACATCAATTCCTAGAAGGAGGTAAGTTGTGACTATGACAGCTCAGTTAGCACATTGGACAGCGCCCAGAAAACCGCGCATTTCTAACAGGTAAGCACAATTGGTTTCTTTTTCCTAGCCTCTCAGCGTGAACTCCCAGATATTACTAAAGCACTATCATCTTGAATTTTCCCTTCTTCCCTTCCTTCTTTCCTTCCTTTCCTCTTTCCACCCCTTTGTGTCTGAGTCCTCTTTTGCTCCTTTGTCCTTTTATTGATTTTCTTTTCTCTTGCTTGTGTTTATTCTTCACTCTCCGGTTTGCGTTGTGATAACTCAGGCAGAGAAGAATGGAAATTTACTTTCCTGAAAGATGTTAATGAGAGTGAGATTTTTAAAACTATGATTACCTGTTTGTTTTTACTAAACTTCTTGAAAAGAGAAGACTGAAAAATAAAAATGAATTGGATTTTTCATAGTGGCTAAAAAGAATAAGCAACAAATGGGAGAGAAATAATTTTTGTTTGATGAGCAAGACGTGCTTTCCAACTCTTGTTTAGCTTAATGTGTTCAAATATGTGGACAAATTTTATATTTGACTTTTTGTTCTTTAATGTTTCTCATGACTTTTTTCCCCCTCATCTAGTGAGAATCTAGTTCCACAATAAATGCATTAGGACACTTAAGGGAAATAGGATAGAAATTTAAATAAAAAATTTAATAAAAAATTTAATAAAGTAACTGTCAGAACTATCATGAGATTCAAAAGAGACACTTTTTCTTGGACTAAACTTTTTAATGATTTTATGCAAAGGAATAAATATTTCAACAAACGAAATTACAAAGGAAACTGGCAAAATTAATGGAATCCACATACAGGATTGGATTGAAATATTGGTATTAAAATATTAGGGAATTTATAAAAATGTCTTAACAATCATGCCTGTAGCCATACTTTAAAAATGTTTCTCTTCAACTTCATTGTAAAATCCTAAGATAAACACTTCTGTTTATACCACAGTAATTTCAGTTTATCTTAACAAGGTTCCAATTGTGGTGGTGTAATTAGGGCAAAAATGTTAAAATCTAAGTTATAATGATTTACCCTTTTTGTTTATAAATCTAACTATAGAACAGAAATAGGTGAAATCTTTTTCCCTGCTTATTTTGAAACATCTGTTTTATTTTTAAAATGTTTTTGTGGATATTTGGTTCTACATTCAATATAGATAGTATATGTAGTAAATTTATAAAGTATTAAATGGTCTAAAACAATTCACCCATTGGAAAGAAGCATTGTTTTCATTTCCAGATTTGAAAGTTAAAAGAGAACCATTTTTTAAAAATCCAACTGAAGAAAAATAAAAGTTAAATTCAAACTTGATTCTTTTGGGTTCTAGAGCTGTAGTTTATAATTACTCAGTGACCCACATGGAGGCTTTTGTAAAGAGTTTGATAAACCCTCTTCCAATTTTGGTCAATATGTTTCAGAAAATAATCATGAAATGAAGTTCATTATTAATAAACTTAGTTTATTACCTATTTTATCTTTATTGACTGATCCCATTAAGCATTTATATTTACTATTATCAAAGTAGGAAAACGAAGTGACCAAGAGTAACCTGGGCAATAATTCTTCAGGTGGCTGGAGGGTGGGGTTAAGAGTAATATAGACAGACAGACAGACAGATAAAAAAAAAACTTTTCAGGGAGTAAAGCAAACATCCAACTGTCCCAAATTTGTTAAAACCTTTCCTTTCCCTCTCTTCATACCCCTTCCTTTATTCTTACAGGATTGTTATGCAATTTCAGGGAAAATGATAAAGTAGGACAAAGGTAGACATTTGTCATGATTGTGGGGAGAAAGGTCTAAGAAATACTACTTCAGATTACTTATAGAAGGGGCCTGCTTCTTCTTACTCATTTTCAAATTATGATTTATGTCCATGGATCATTTTAGAATAAGAAGAATATATATGCATCTATCTTATTTTTCTATTGTAGGTAAACTTCTTTTGAAGTTTAATATATATACTTAAAATTCACAAACCATATATGTGCAGCTTAATGAATTTTCATAAAGTAAACATACTTAAGAAATCTGTGCCCTACTAAAATTAATTAGCTAATTTTGAGAATTATATGAAGTTAAACTATATGTATTTTTGTGTCTTTCACTCAACATTTTTTATGAGATTCATGCATATTATTGTTGAATAGTATTTTATTGTGTGAAAAAACTCTATTAGTTTATTCTTTCTACTCTTGATGGGCATTTGGTTAGTTTCCAGTTTTATCTATTACACATAGTCCTATGGATATTGTTGTACATATCTTTGGTGAGAATATTTATGCATTCCTGTTCAGTATATGCGTAGAAGTGGAGTAGGTTATGTATATGCTCAGCTTTAGTAGTTACCAACAAATTGCTTTCCAAAATACTTACAACAATTTACACTGTCACCATCACCAGTGATGTATTAGAATTCCATTTTTATCACATCTTTGTCAACAGTTGGCATTTTCAAGCCATTCTGAGGATATTCATAAGTATCACATTGTGGTTTTGATTTGTATTTCCCTGAAGGTAAATGAAATTGAGCACAGTTTCATAATGCCGAATTAGGTACTGGCTCCTTGGTAAAGTGCCTGCTCAAATGTTTGCTACTTCTAATAATTGTTTATTTGTATATATATTCAGTTATGAGCAATAGCTAGTATTGTCTCCCTATCCTGGCTTTCCTTTTCATTCTTTTAATGATTGCCTTTTGAACAGAAGTATTTATTTATTTATTTATATTGAGTTAAATGTTTTACAGCAGCTTAAGGTTTACAGCATAATTCACAGAGATTTCCCATATATACCTTGCCCATACACATGAATAGCCTCCCTCATGGCCAACATCTCTCCCTACATTGGCAATGATGTTACAATCTATGAACCTACACTTACACATCATAATTACCAAAGTCCCTACTTCTACCTTAGGGCTCACTCTTGATGTACATTCTATGCATTTGGATAGATGTATTATGATGTACATCTATCATTATAATACAAAGTATTTTCACTATCCTAGAAAGTCTTTGTGTTCTGCCTATTCAGCTGCAATCACTGATGTTCTATCTCCATAGTTTTGCCATTTCCATAGAGTCATGTAGTTGGAATCATATAGTATATAGCCTTTTCATGTTGGCTTCATTCCTCCATGTCTTTTTATGGCTTGGTAACTCATTTACTTTTAGGGCTGAAAAAGAATCTATTGTCTGGATATCTATAGATTCACCTACTGAAGGACATTTTGGTTGCTTCCAAGTTTTAGCAATTATGAGTAAAGCTACTATGAACATTTATGTGCAGGTTTTTGTGTGGCAAGTTTTAACTCATTTGGATGGATACCAAGGAATGTGGTTGCTGGGCTGTAAGTTAAGAATATGTGTAGTTTTATAAGAAAACTACAAACTGTATTCCAAAGTGGCTACACTATTTGACATCCTCATCAGCAATGAGTGAGAGTTCCTGTTGCTCTACATCTTGCCAGAATTTGGTGGTGTTACTGTTTCAGATTTGGTCAGAATTTTTTAGTTTGAATATGTCCAAATTACCATTTTTTTCTTTCTCAATACTCTTTATGTCATGTTTAAGAAAAGTTAATCCATTACAAAGTAATGAAGACATTCTTTTATATTTTCATCTAAAAGCT